TTAGGAGACGCTGACTCCAAATATTCGAGCTAGAATTTCATATGTTTGGGTTGAAGAAAGTTATGGGGGTGCGGCGGTACCAACGCGGCAATGCGTTTATCCGCCGATGGTCCTAAAAAAATATCTTTGTGAAGGAAATTTTGAAACTTTTGAAAACACTTTTAGATTGTCCAGAAGGCGCTGGTTTCAAGTATCTAAGCTAGAGTTCAATTGGTTGAGGTTCAAGCGAGCTATCGCAATGCGGCACTTCCGGCGCGACAACGCGTTTATATCGCAGGATTTCAGGGCGGCAGTGTTGGTACTGTATATTCCTTTCCATCAGCAATTTTCAGTTGACCATCTATTCATAAGGGAAAGTTCTCTGTGGTGGCAATCTCTTAGCGCTAAAGGCTTACTTCTGACTTTGCCGCATCGTGCAAATCAAATAAATCAGCTTAGATGCTAGACATGTTATGGCCTCGAAGCAGCTTTGAAATCTAGAACAAAGCAGAACACAACCGAGTGCAGTATCTCTTTGTGATAATCCACATTTTCGATTTCATTATCATTCAGCAATTTCAAGGGGTTTCGTGTAAAAGAACCATGGATGCTGTTAGTCATACACTGAATTCGGAGTAATGAATCAGTGATAAATCGTTATGTATTTTTGAGCTTGGCTTCACAAACTGAAGCAGTGAGGAAATAATGATTCAGCTTACTTGGATGACTCCTGCGTGGTTGCAGGTATGCTTTGGAATTAGTGTATGATCTACGATTGGTACTGTGCCCCTCGTTTGCCAGCAAGAAAAATGTATTGAGTTGTTGTAAAAGTTTGATTTGTACTCCAAAAAAACTTTTGAATGCTTCTCGTTTTGGGGGCCCCCACCTTGTAGAAGAAGGGAGCGTGATGGCAGCGTTCGCAAAATAGCAAGTTTCTAGTGAAATTCAATTGAATCTGGATATTCGGATGAGATCTGATACAGGCAGTCATGGCACCGTTTCAAATTGGACGAACATTCTCTCCTTTTTCATATCAACGTTCTCAATTCATTGTTTTCAGTCGATTGCACAATCGCAGAAACTTAATCCGCCGTTGTCATCTAATCCAAAATAAGCAAATTTTGTGATGATTCTAAATATTGGAAAACTTGTGACAGCAGGCAGACAGCAAGTTCTCGCGTTCAAGCAATTAACCCTTTAGGTATTTTCCCAAAGATCTTCAATTCAAAGTATCTTGTTGCGATCAAAACATTTGCTCATTTTGAGATGGAGAAAATGAGGCCAGCACAAAAAGGATAAAAAAAAATTTTTGGTATCATCGTCGAGCATGCGCCAAAACATCTTGTTTTATAGAGTAAGAGGTTGTTGAATAAGTGCGAACCTTTGCGATAGTTTGCGGCGACTAACCGGTCACCATATCAATGTTTGAATCTCCTGAATTACGCTTAAAAACATACCGTCTTTGAAGGGTAGAAGGCTTGGTTGGCAAAGAGGAAAGAGTAAATCTACCAATCTAACAAGGCCTTAGTGACGGCTCATACAATAAGAGTCTTTCCCCAAGCCAAAATATTAGGTTGTCCCGAAAGTTTTGCCATTATAAAACCACGCACAGTAAAGATATGAATGAGTTTTAAAGTGCATTCGATGCAACTTTTCCTTTTCTTTCTTACAGTGATATTTTCGAACCGCAATCCTGTATGCTTTTTTGGTATAATTGCCAAAATTCTTCACCCGCCATTTTTATTTGCTGAAAGTTAGGCTATTTTTCAAAAAATCCGTTCCAAACTTTTGGAGAGGATTGAGTGTGAATTAAATAGAGCAATTCCAGGACTTTACGGAGATATTTTTTGATTCTCCTAATCTGCTGTGATTAGCCCAAAAAAATTATTTCTTCAGAGGCCTTGATTTTCAGCAAAGTCATGAAAAACGCAACTGCAGCAAAAGCAAGAAAACATTTGAAGTTTCTGCGAATTCAAATTTAAATGTTATTAAACACTAGCTTCAAAAATCAGCTTTTTGGAATTTTCGGTATTTTTACGTGGTAAACTTATTCAAAAAATCGCCGTTTTTACTGAATAAATGATCATAACGGACTTAATAAACGAGGCTCACGTAATCTAAAATAAGTACAATGTAGCCAAAGGTCTGCTCTACATAACAGTCACCAGCGCTCCTTGAATATATCAGTGTAAAAATTTTGAAAATTCAGGAAAGATTTGGCGCTACTGCTGAGGTGCTCAAAAAGCCATGGCGATAGCATCACAAAGACGAGGTAGATCAGAAAACAAATATAGTTGTAAGAAAGAGGATAAAAATGTGAATAGAACGGTACCTAGGTCGTCCATGGAATGGCTTTCTGTGAGTTTGGGTGAGCGATGAAAAAAAACCGACAAAATTTACGGGACAACCTAATATATACACTGTGAATGTTATAGTACAATGTGAATGCATATCGTAGTCCTTATTCTTGTAAAATGCATTAAAACTTATTATGAACGACATTTGATGCAAACTCACCTTCTTTCTCGACATTAAACTCAATAAAATCTTCACATATTGTCAGTAAGCGTTTGCTATGGTAAGTCTGCCATAGAAGATAGACGAAAGCACACGCTAGAAGTGTCTGATAAAAGCGAGGCATTCCTTAGAAAACTAAAAGATTAGTATAAGGTTAGTAGATACAGAGGAATTTGGCTGTACCTATCAACAACACGACATAGTCGAGAGATCAACTGCATGCGTAATCCGCTGGCGCAGTAATCCATATGAGATTTTCTGTAAGTTTTAAATTGGGGAATTACGCATGATTATCGAATGACTCAAAAGCTTTGTCAATCCATAGTTTGTTATTGAACGTATTTTGTTAAGATAAAGCAGTCATTTTCAGTATTACCTTGCTTCCCTTTTTTAACTGTTTGTAGGACAGATGGGCACCAAATATTAGTTTGTCCGAAACTTTTGTCCGTTTTTTCGAACCACTTTAAAATCACGCACAATAGAGACCTGGATGTTTCAACGTGTATTCGATGCAACTTTTCCTTCTCTTTTTTTACTTATACATTTTTAAACCACAATCTTCTTGCCTTTTTGGATAATTGCCAAAATTCTCTACCCGTCAATTTGCTCAAAGTAGCTAATTTCCAAAAATTTCATTCCAAAGTTTCGGAGTTAAGCATGGATAAATTAGAGCAAACCTCGAGCTACAAGGTAATCTTTTCTGCTGTTTTTAGCTTGGAAAAATTATTTGCTCGAAGGGCTTGGTTTTTGACACACACATGAGACACGCAACTGCAGCAAATACACAAAAACTTTGAGAGTTTCTGCGAATTGAAACACGATTCTTATCAAACATCATTAATGCAGCGTAATCAACTTTGATTTGCTTTGTAAACAGCTTTTTGGAATTTTCGGTATTTTCACGTGGTAAAAGTGATTAAAAAGCCGCGGTTTTTATCAATCAAATAATTATAACGAACTTGGTAAACGTGTTTCATGCAATCTAAAATGGCTGATATGCAGTCAAAGGTTTGCTCTACATAACTTGAAAACATCAGAATAACAATTTTTTGAATTCAGGAAAGATTTGGCGTCACTGCTTAGCTGCTCAAAAAGCTATGGCAATAACATTGCAAAGATGGGGTAGATCAGAGAGCAAATGTAGCTGTAAGAATGAGGATAGAAATCTGAATTGAATGGTACCTAAGTCGTGCATGGACTGGTGTTTTGTGAGTTTTAGTGAGCGATAAAAAAAAGGACAAAACTTTCGGGACAACCTAATATATTAGGTTGGTGCAAAAGTTCGTTCGCACCATTTTCAAAAATTCATAACTCCTTAAATTCTCAACGAATTTGTACGCTCAAAATTTTGTCTAAGGGAGGAGCTCATGCTCTTTGCACCTGTAGCTGAGCTGTTCGTTAGTGTGTACGAATGAAGGAGATAGAAGCTTAAAACCAAAATCATTCAAAATTTGAATTTTTTGTGTAAAGTCATAAAAAATCGGAAACTTGCCATAAAAATCGGAGCAGTCAGTATTGTAGGCTCTTTCACCAGCTCTTTCTAATTGTGCAATGTTTGCGCCGATTGAGCGTTTCTATGAAAAGTTATGAATTCCCTGAAAAATGCTAAAATATAATAAATTAAATTCGCCCTTTTGTATTGCTTGCTCGAAATCATAATTTTTCATAGAAACGCTCAATCGGCGCAAACTTTGCACAGTTAGAAAGAGCTGGTGAAAGAGCCTACAATACTGACTGCTCCAATTTTTATCGCAAGTCTCCTATTTTTTATGACCCTACACGAAAAATTCAAATTTTGAATGATTTTGGTTTTGAGCTTCTATCTCCTTCATTTGTACACATTAACGAACAGCTCAGGTACAGGTGCAAAAAGCATGAGTTCTTCTCTTAACCAAAATTTTGAGCGTACAAATTTGTTGAGAATTTAAGGAGTTATGAATTTTTGAAAATGGTGCGTACGAACTTTTGCACCAACCTAATATAACTGCCAAAACTATTTCTGCAGCATATTGTTGCTCTCACTTCGGCCATACATATGAGAATAAATAAGGTTTCCAAGATGTGCAGTAATATGAGACTCAACAAGTGAATCTCTTGTCAATTTTGAGACCAAGCTCATAGTCTCACAGTTGGACAGTTGGCACCGGTTCGAGCTATATCGTTTTTGTGATAACAAAGGGTTATCGTTTTTGTGGCTGAAAAGACACAAAAATTGCAACTTTCTATAGTCGACGTTTCGTTTCTTGAAGGTTTTTTGCGTTTAGTATTTAGGGTCAAAGGGAACTTCGCAAGAAATTCAAGATCAAAAGGGGCTTTGTTTCAATATTTCCCCAATGCCATCTCGTGACAAGGCCTGCTCAAGTGACTATCATTTTAGCTTCTTTCTCAAAAGCTCTCATTGAGGGAAAGTGCACACAATCACAGCAGGAAACGGTCAGAATTTTATACGCAGTTTTTATAACAACATTTATTATGACCGCAAACAACAACAAATCATAGTACCATTAGTTATCCTCAGTCATTTGAACTTCAGGAATAGGAAAGCCAAACAAAACAAAGTCATAATAAAACATCTTGATAAGGAGATCAAGGTGATATTCACTAGTGAGAATAGCTTTCCGCACTTTTTGCTGCTCCGCTGTTCCTCTAGTACTATGTTCAGTGCGATTAAAAGCAAGGGAAGTTTCTGAAAGCTCATGTATAGATATCTCTATAGCAGAAATGTGCAGTCTTAGCGAAAAAGATTTAAAGAAATTTCGAGCCTTGAAATGCAACAGGAATTCAAAAAATTTATACCAATATGCTCGATAGCAGTGTCAGTCACATTTTGCTTCTTGAATATTGTAACCATATCTTTTATAAACGAACTTGGATCATCAGTGTTGTATCTTAGCATGTGATAGTCGCGCAGATGTGAATTGAATTCACATCGCCTTAATACCGTTTTTTTGGAAGCTTTCCCGTGAAAATTTAGTTGAACGAAATCTTTTCGCCAACCCTACCAGTTTTGTGGAAAGAAGTGCCTATCGTCAAACATGGTCGTGTTATCCAATTGCTGGCCTGCTGTGTATCTCAGCATCCTGTCATAAAGCCTTTCCATAAAGCAGGTAAGATTCTGAACAAATGATTATCGCATTCACCCAAGTATGTGAAGAGGAAAGGACTTCGGAAGAAGACCATTAAAATACTTACCCTTCTGCAGAAGTTGCAGCGTTCTGGATGCGTCCTCCATACCCTAGTTCTGAAATTCCTGATCCACTTTTGAAAATTCCTAGCGAAAGTGAAGTCGCTCACTTGCCTAAGACACTTTTCGGAAAAACCAGAGACAAATCTTTCTAATGGATCCCGGACGACGGCAATCATTTTCCAAACATTCAAATTCAGATGAAAGTTTTTTTCGAATTGAGCTATGGTATCATACTCGTTGAGTCTTTTGCATAACCTGAAAATGTGTGATAAACGAAATTTTTCACGTTTCGACTTAGTTGTTGAACTTGCTTTGATATTTTGTGAAAATGCTTAGGCAAACATGGGCTTGACAAAGGTTAAGACACATCAACACTTTCAAAAAGAAGACAAAGGAAAATTTTCCAGTTTTTTAGATGTATCATAACATTATAAATGATTTTGTGCTCAGTGCTTTATTATAAGAGTCCCACGCCCAAGAGCAAAATTCTCAAAATAATCATCGTAACATAAGAGATAGCCAAGGATTTGATTATATTCGTTCAGCGCCAACCTTCAGCATACTAAATGGTGTTGCTTGTCATAAAATTGGTTTGCGCTCCTCAGAAATCACTTTGCTATACAGCTCTTAATTTTTAACAAAATTTAGAAGATATTCTGAGCCCTTTGGTTGAGAACCGAATTACAGCATTTTTATTCAATAAGCGAGGTTGCATCTATATGTTTTGATGCGGTAAACAAATGGTTTGTTCACAATGTACAGGCACCATTCACCATAATAGTATAGAGGTAAGCGGGCAAGGGGGTAGGAACAAGATTCAAGAATTGCGAGAAACATTTAGTAAAACACATTTTTTACCTCAATTAAATGCGTCGTCTCAGATCCCTGCCAGCTGGGCTGCCACGGAAAAAAAACAGCATATTTGTGCCCTTTTTCACAATTTCTTCATACATGAACCTATCTTCTATTTCAAATCCTGGCTTTCAATGCCCAAGACATCCCAGTCATTGATCGTGCTATGTTACACCTCAATAATATAAAACCTTATTTTTTTTCCTCTTACGCCGCTTTATCTCTGATAACTTCCCCTTAAAGGTATCCATTGTTAGTTCGCTGACATTATCCTAAATCCATACCTCCAGAAACACTTCAAGGGCAAGCCGTAAGTTTATGTAAAGTCAAAGGAGATCTTTTCCCTCCTAGACGGTTTCCTCGAAGAGGAACGTTTGAAGCTTGTAAATAAATAACACTAGAACAACGTTTTTGCACCACACTAAGCACGTGGAGTAGGACAACTCTGACCGCCTTTCAATCATATTTTATGTGGACGAAAAGTAAGGTTTTATTATTCGCATATTCGTGCATTTGCCGTTTTATCGAATTGCATCAGTTTGACGATTCGTTGCTTTTTAAGATCTTGTACAGTTCTTGATAGATAGTGTAAACTAGAGCGTGCATCTGAGTTTAAGTTAAAAAAGATTTTTGAGGATAAGCTACATAACGGAATCCGATAAAATTATATGGACCCACCTCCAATGATACATATCGCCTGTGATAGTACGATTGTTCTCTACGAATGATGTCTCATTAAAAAGATAGCATAAAATTGCAGTGAAAACGGAAGAAAAATTCTTCTCTATGGCACAGCCAAATAAATGATACTTGTGAGAAACCTCAAAATGATACCTTTATGACCAATTCTAAAAATACGAGAAGAAATAGGAAATCCCGAACTTACTCTGAATCTTCGAGCAAAATTGTATAGCGCTGGAACGCAGTCCGAATGGTTCGACCCCACACAACGATTTGCTAAAGTTTCATAACTTTCAAAACTATATAGAACATACAAATAGTCACAATTCTATCTGCAAAGGTTCAAAGGACCCTTTAACACCTTCGAAGTTAAATTTTTATCCTGTTAGGATTCTAGATGATAGCCATTTGTCAGGTGTGCACTCGGTAAAATGTTCATTGAACGTGCTCCCATTTTTGAATTGGGATGCAGTCATAAAACTAACTTGTGATCGATCATTGCAATTAATTCCCTTTTTTATACCACAGTTAAAGTTCGCAATTACGGATTAGCAGTTAACGGTGAACTTTGGTGAAGCTAATGAGGTCAACTCAGAGAAAACACAGCGAATTTATTTTATAGCTAGTTATTTTCAATTTATGGAAAAGGTAACTTGCAAGCAACTTTGCAAGGCTGAGTTAGAATGCGCAAAATTTGCGTTATTGCAAACTGTTCGTTAACTTTTGAGATTTATCAATACTCAAACTTTAATGGCTTCATGTAGCAAATGATTTCAAAAAAGGAAAGAATTTTTTTTGACTTAATTGGTCTTGTTCATCTTACAAACGAAAGACAATGGTGACCGTGGTCTATTGAAATATGTTATACATCAAAATACTGACTTTGAAGCACTGAATCCGAAACTATTTTTGTTAGCTCTTACACAAAAAAGTCCTTCAATTCGTAATGATAGTACTCTATAGTATGAACTATTAAACTCTACAAAATATACGATTGAACTGCGTGGGATGCTTATTTCAATTTTGCAATACAGATTTGTCAAAATGTTTGTTGAACAAGTCAAAGTCAGGTGAGAACAAACAATTGATTTTTTAAACTTTTGCAGAAAAGAAGAAGCAGCTTCCGTAATTCTTTTTTTTACCGAAAATTTGAATGGTAATTTTTAGACTTTGGGAGCACAATGTGCAGCAGTTTCGCATTTACTGCGAGTTCACGACTTTCAAACATAAATCGGCAACGTTCAAAAGGAAATGCCTTTAATCCCGTTCATTAAACCATGTGCACATGGAAGGCTGATTTGTAAACAGCGCCTTAGCATCATTCGTTGATGTAGATCTTATTGGAGGTCCTTTAGCGTAAACGAACATGCACTACCAATATATTTCTTAACCCCGAGTCCGGATAGTTTCGAAAAATCATATATGTTGAATCTTTCTAGTATCTTTCTTGTATCAACATTAAGCTCGGTTAATCTTTACATATATAAAGCAGAAAATTTGTATGTCTATGCATATCCCATAATCACGAAGGATGAGCGGTGAAGCTCATTTTGCTGCTGATCATCAAGACATGGTAAGGACGGTAGGATTTGAGTGGAAGATATGTTTTGCTGCATGAGAAATCAAGCACGATAGACTAGCTCCAAACCAGGATGAAACCCAATATGCTAGTTTGTTTCTTATAAAATGTTACTAGCGACCCTACGGGTCGCTATTGGGTAGGGGCAGATACAATACAAGGGCTTAGTTGTGACTATAAATAATTCTAAATACGTTTCCTATGCCTTTGCTAAGAACATCTTTGCGAAGCATTCTACAAAAGGGGAACTGTTCGAAGAAGCAATAATCTCCACAAATCATTCAGCATTTCTCGAAATTCCTGCTGCAGCCATGCATGGGGTATTATTTTTCTCTCGTTTACCGCGCTCTTTCTGCAAATTTTCCCTCCTCACAGAGACATTCAGATAACCCCCCCCCCCCATCTTTTCTACCCTCTCAAAAAGAATTTGCTCTTCCAGTTCTTCTCAACAATTTCCATAGAAGATGGTCAAGCAAGAAGAAGAACACCTATCGTTTTGGAAGTAGAAATACACCCACAACAATGTGTACTACAAAAAACACTTTTCTCTCAGAATCAACTTCTATAGCAACGAAATCAATCGCCTAAGAACTTTGTCAGAAAATCCTTCAATATTTTCGCCAAAGGAATATGAAGGTTTACTACATAAGTAGAACTCCCCCCCCCCGAAAAGCGCACTACTGAGCCACTTAAAGACCGTCAATCATAAGAACTGCATAAACGTACAAAAATCTGTTCCCCTGCCCGATCAAGTTGCCCTACGTGCCGCTTGAAGACCGTCCAATAATTATAAGAACTGCCCCAAACATACAAAAATCTGTTCCCCTGCCCGATCAAGTTGCCCTACGTGCCACTTACCGACCGATAATAACTATTCAAAAGAAAGTTTATGCCTATGTGCCGCTTGAAGACCGTATACATGAGAAGAACCAACCTTACGACTCTAGGGAAAGAAAACAACGAAATCAAGTATTTACAGCGTTCAAATTGCCGTACATGCCACTTTTGGAATTTCAATTCTGAGAACTGCCCCAAGCGTACAAAAATCTGTTTCCCTGCCCGATGCAATTGCTCTACGTGCGCTTACACACCGATTCCTAGTTGAAAGCACCAGCGGGACCCATTAACAAGCAAAAGCAAGGCTGTTATTAGACAAACGTTTCCAGAAGTACCAGCGAGACCAAGTTACTCACGCACTCTCTTGTTTACACGTGGAAGCAAGACGATCCTAAAGTGACTGTTCTTAGTTAGAGCATTTTACAAAAGTTGGGAACTTAGATGAATTTAGCTCAATTCACGCTGTTACGCAATTTGGCATCATTTCAAAAGCAACTAATAGGAGTACAACATATTTGAAAGACACATTCTGGGATAACAAGCTCGAAAAAAAGCAGCTACAAATAACCACCCGGACACCCGGACACTGGCGACCCAGTCTCAAAATCATTGCGACCTCATGATTGCTTTTCGAAATACGTGTGACCCTTTTACGAAAATATGCTTGGTCACTCGTTTTGAAATTTGGCAGCTTTCCGAAACGCATGCCACTTGGCAGCAATTCAAATTCAAAGATCAGCGTATTTCATCATAATTTCTCCGTGTGCGACCTCCTCGTTTGCCATGTTCCACGGACCAGGGGTGTTAATTAAACAACGATTCCAATATATTACATAGTGATTTGTTCGAATTGTTATCTCAAGAAACTTTAGAAGAAATTATCATGGACCATGTATTTTTGAACTTCTTCACTTTGAGAAAGTTTTCGCAGATCCTATTATTT